ATCATACAAGCTTACAGAGGAACACTGTGGATGGATGCTCTATAGTCAAATACTAGAGAATCCTCATACTACTCAACAAGATCTCCTTGTCAGTGTGGATAATGCTATCAAAGTTCAAGCTCTTCACAAGCTTCTACATCATATAGGTCTACAGAAATGGAGACAATGCAGACACTCTGAAATACAACCTCATCATGCTTCTCAACATCTTGAATGAGGCCATCAGTACAAGCATTTTCAAGCTTCTGATTGAGGAAGAGTCAGATGATCTGATGAATGCACAGTTGAACATGGAGAGGATATAGCCTCTATATGAACATTCCACCAGCCGGGGGAGCAGCTTGCTCATAGAGATGTTCATACAACAAAATGTGGAAAGAGGGTTAAGCAGATGTTCTGAGCTGTCTTTGGAGAGAGAATACAGAGTGGTTTACTGTCATTGAATGGAGATTCAGAGACTCCAAGAGAAGGGGTTTCTTCAAGAGTGATAAAGAATGTGTATAGATCCTTTTTACCTGATTTTGTGAGAGAGGGGGATATATTCATGCATGATGGAGCCAGGGTTCATACAGCTCACATAGTTAAGGAGATTCTTGAAGAGATGAATATAGAGATCATGCCTTGGCCTCCATATTCTCCAGATTTGAATTCTATAGAGAATCTTTGAGCACTGTTGAAGCAGGAGATCTATAAGCTGCATTCAGAACTGGAGCATGCATCAGATACAGTAGCTACAAAAAGAGCTTTAATAGAGGCAGCTAAGGAGGCATGGAATGCAATTGATGATAGCATTCTATATAATCTTTCTGCTACAATGCCTCATCGAGTGAAGGCAGTTATAGAGGCAGAAGGATGGTATACAAAATATTAATATCTAAACACAATATGACTAAATTTTGTCAAATCACTGAAGATCACATTCTAGAGGCAGTAGACATTTATAAACATGATACAACTTAAAAAATCAAACCTCTGTTGCGTGAATATAAAATCAGCTATCAAACCCCCTACAGAAGAATTCAAAGAGTCAACTCACAAACAAAAAACGAATCAATCAATTGTTTATTGAATTTCACACAAGAGGAGGCTTTAAAAGTATAGATTGCACAGTTGAATAAGGCTGGTCAACCCTTCACCATTGAGATGATTCAAAAATATGTAAATTCAATCCTTGCAAAGTGTTATACAGATTCTGCAAATTCTTCTCTTACTATTTATCACAACTGACTTTATAGATTCATCAAATGTCTTGATGATTATGAGTGAATTACATAATGTTCAATGAATTTAAAATGAGTGTCTGCAGAGGATATAAAGATATGGTTTGACAGATTGAAGATCACAATGAAGCAATATAGCATTCTACTCACAGATTGTTACAATATAAATGAGATTGGATTCCAAGAGGGTTAAGGATGTACAGAGCAAATCATTACAGTCTTTAAAAAAGCAAATGCAGTTTTATTCTCATTCTTTTCACAGTTATTGAACACAGTAATAGAGTGTATATTCACAGATGAAGAGATTCTTCCATTCTGTGTGATTTGTGAGGTAAGAATTTATTGAAGAATTGAATTACATTTACAAATTTTCTGATTTTGACTTCTAACTACCTCTTTCTACTGGCTATACAAATGATGAGATTGAGTATCCATGATTACTTCATTTTGATC